TTTGGCTTACAATGGGCTTGGGCTTGTTTGCTTATCAGAAAGAAGAAGAAAAAAGATAACAATTCAGTTATTGATTATATTCTGACTAAACATTCAGCAGAAATATGGTTGAGGGAACATAATGAAACTTACCAGAAACTTTGAGTTCATGTGAGTTACTAACTGCAGAGAAAACGCTTTTTGTTTTGTGATGACCTTTACAGGAATAACTTCCAGAATGTATTTTTGCTGCAGTAATTGTAAGTATTGATCCCTCTGCAGACAAAGACACATTTGGATCTGATTGGACTTTAGCACCATTTCTGAACCAGGTGAAGGTCCAGTCAGAGCTGCCAGTGATACTACAACTGAACTTCACTTTCTCAGAAGGGAACACATCCAACCAGGTTGACTGTAGCTCCAGAGTCGGTATAGGAGGCACTGGAAGTTTAAATAAAAATAAATATTGATTAGATTCATATAATTCCAAAAAATAATATACTGAAATAGTCGTGCACATTTAGGTCCAATGGCATTAGGACGATTACTGTGAAAGTTATTTTTAAAATCCCGCTTGTCTTGATTTTTATTCTTAGTGCAGGTAAGTGTGAACCACTCAAAATTAACTAAATGTTATTGAATTTATTTTGAACTTCATGAAATTACAAAATCAGAGTTAAAATGATGAATAAGAAGTGTTGCAGAAGGAGAATCCCCTTTAAAATAGTGGTGAAGTAATATTTGAGTAATGTAGTTTTTCAACAACAGTTTCATTTTGCAAATTGCAACAGGCTTTCTTCTAAAAGGCAGAGAGACAAATTGCGGTGGCGATGTCATCTATATAAACCAGTACAAATGTGACAACACCCATGGTGACTTCACAGGTGACATTTGCTGATTCACACTGTCAAAGACATATCATATTCGAATATAATTTTGTTTAGATCTGCATTCACTTTGCGTCCGTGGATTTTACTGTCCAACATCAATGCCAATATTGCCATATTGATTTTGAAAATTGAATGAACATGCATGATCATCAGCTAATCTTTTAGGTATATGGTTTTACAGCAGAATTTAAATTAAACAATTAAAATCTCACCATAGGCAGTTGTAATCACCACTGGCAGAACAGTGTTTGGAGTGATGGAGCTGTACACGGCAGTGACTGGTGGATGAGAGGAGATCAGAATTTAGATCAGAACAGCCAGCATTTGTGCTCTACATACAGCAACAGCAGTAATAATGGACTTAATGAACTTTGAGATGCAACAAAAAATACATTCATTAAATAAATTCAGCCAAAAATGCCAAACGCACACTGGTTCCAGCTTCTAAAATGTGAAGATTTGTTGCTTGTCTTTGTCATATATGACAGCAAAATAATAAATATCTTTAGGTGTTGGTTGAATAAAACAAGCTATTTAAATACATATCTCCCTGAGCTGTGTGAACAGGAAATTTTAACTGTTTTCTGACATTTCATAGATGAAAACAGTCAAAATTATACGTTTTTTAATTTAGTTGCAGCCCTGGATGAACTGATGTGGTCATGTTTGACCCAATTGAATTAAACTGATCACACTCAACAAATCGCATTATTTCAATAGAGCTGACACAGGGATTGAAAAGTCTGCAGAGAGGTCACTACAGACAGTGACACAAGGGCAAAATAACAGGAACAGCTGACAATAAAATGTAGTTTAATACACCACAAAGAGCTGAAAACCAGAGCTGAAACACCTGTGCTCCAAAAAATTAACATTATAATTTACTTTGCGGTACCACGCATGGCTGGAATATATTATCAGGTGTTCTTATTATTTATCCACCACTCGTACTACTGGAGGACACAAGAACAAGGACATTACAGTTTAGAAAACCTAAAACCATAAAGAAACTGCAGAACAGCGAAATAAGAACTTGCACTAGAAGGCGTCAAATTTGGCAGGAACTGCCAGACTCATGACTACAAAGTACTTCATGTTCCTCATGTTAACTTTTCTCATGATCTACTTCCTAAACATTATTTTTCTCTGCTTCTGAGTTAGTACAGGCTATCAAAATCATTAATTCCAGGTGATTTAGTTTCCAATCACAGAGGTTAATCTCACAAGTTAATATTTAACAATTTAGTTTAACTAAAGGCCTTTAGTTTAACTAAATTGTTTGTTTGTTTTTTTTAAACTGCTATTTTAAAATCTGTGCAATGTGCATAAATGATGTTTTGTCAGTATGTTAAATGTTTTTCTTACCATCTTCGTCACCCTGAGTTGCACAAACAGCAGTGAAATCTGTCAAATTAAAATTAAGATAAATGTTAGGTGAGAAACACATTCAAATGTACCTGGAAATATTCTTTGTACATTATATAAGTCACAACAAATTAATGCAATTGCCTAAAAAACTTACATATGACACTGAAGACCTTGATAAGCCACATTTTCCATTGAGCTGCACATGTAGAGGCTGTGCTGCTGAGTTGAGTCATCTGTTGTTCAGTGAAGTTCTGCAAAGGAAATAGGCTGCACAATATAAGGGCGTGTGTGACATGTTCATTTCTAAACTCACCTCAGCCAGCAGCTTTCCTGTCTTTTAGCTTTTTTTTTGTCAAAGCTACAGGAAATGCGTCGGTCAACCGCGCTCAGATGTTTGTGCCTTCAGCATGAATTTGAACTGCTGATTTGTGCTGAAAAGTGATAGAAGGCTTAGGGAATTGAAACAACATGGCAGAATGTGAATATGTTGACAAGAACAAACAAATATTGTGTCTACTGTGTAATGTGCATGCAAGAAGAATAGGTTTGCTTATGTCTGAAAGTTTCCCTTCCAATTTGGACAATTTAAAGTGGTTCAGTGTTTACTCAAATCCCTCTTACACAGTTGTGTTACATTTTAGAAATACACAAATTTTCATTTCAGTAAGTAAACGGATTCTTCTTATTTTCAGAAGTGAAAGACTTAGATGTAAGCAGAAGTAAAACCAAAGCCCTTTCTAAAACAATAAGGCACTATTTTATTTTAGTTTAGTTTCACAGAAGATCTTTTTAACCTGTGGGTGTGACGTGATTTTGGGGACATGAGCGGAAGCTACATGTTGGGTTTGTTTTAAACCAGCCTTTAACCACATCCTTTTGTCTTCTGTTGAAAGTCTCTCTCTAGATATGCAAATGGGAGTTAACTTCATGTCCACTGAAATTACACACATTTTAAAATAATCTAAATATTAATGTTAAGTGGTCACACACTATGTATTTTAACTAGGGATGCACCGATATGAAATATACGAATATCGTGAAATATCGGGGTTATCGCCGTGAAACGCAAATTAATAGCGGATATCGGTATTGGGCCCAAAATTTTC